TGGAAGCCAAACTACCTAGAGAGATGTTGGTTATGTCTGTCTACTTCAGCAACCAGACATCGGTGTTACTCTCATTAGCACACTTTGTCTGTGAACAGAGTACATCACAATGTTGCAGGACATCTAACACTTCGAAATACCAAACTTCCAAAGAGACCAAGTTTCAAGTAGGGAATGAGCAAAACTAGCGCTATGTAACTACAAAACAGGTACTATGGTGCAACAACTACTTCAGGTAAACGAATTTGCATTTACTAGAGTGAAACATTCCAGTTTGCCACCAAAGACCTAAAGTCTGTAGCTCTGCAGCACAATGCAGATACATAATGGTGAGTTTCTTGCAGGGAGACAACAGCAATCCCCTTTTCCTTCAGTGTTCTGAATATTCCATGATTTACTACTATCTGTACAGGCTTACACCACTTGTTGTCCATCATTTAATATAATTAATGAATAAAAGAGAAAAAAAAATCAACCTAAACCTCACATTTAGAATCAGAGAACAGTTAGAGTTAGAAAGGACCTTAAGATCATCCAGTTCCAACCCCTTAGTTTCATCCATTGCCTTTTCAAACTGAAGACTGTCAATCTATAAAAGGTCCCTATACCAAAAAGCAGTTCTAAAACAGCTCACATTGGCTCAAGAACACGTTTTCTTCTTTTTGTTCACTTCCACTAGTCTCTAGGAATTCTGATGTGAAACTTCCGAAGTGCTGCTATAAAACTACCTGGAAAAGTGACACTATATGATAGAAGTAGGAACAAACTAAAAATCGAATACTGTCATTTAGAACACTTCTCTCCCCCCTTAGATTTTATTTTTCAATAGACACATAGGTAATTTCATGACTGATAAACCTTTCTGTTCCCAATGTCTATTTAATTGCTAGATGCATACAACAGCAGTGAAGTATAGACCTAAGAGGCCTGGCTTCTTTACTGATTGATGCTTATTTCAGGTACTGTTGTTTAACTTCACAGTGGGAGAGCAGATGATTAAAAACCAGATTAGCCTCCACACTATGAATGGATTTGCAGTCCAGCTTAGAAGGAAAGCAAGTAAGAACAGGCTCATGCTACTCATCCAATTTTCTGCTATGAGCTGAGAGGACGCAGCAGTTAGACCTGATGTTACAATGAGCTGGTTCCCAACAGCTCTTGTAGCAGCGCAGGGTAAGATAAGAAAATCATGGGAACAGCAGCTGATAGAATAATCCACTCATTGACTTCTACTCCCTGCTTACGCACCCTGTGTTAATTGCATGCTGTGGTTCAGCACTGCTTTCAGTCTGTGCTTCCTGAGACAAGTACGAAGTAAAGCAATGGGAAAAATCAAATTCTTGAATTTAGTCCAAATGGAATTGGACAAAAATAGACTCAAAGATTCGCACTGCAAATTTGACTCTGGAATGAAGGTTGTGTTGGTTGGTTGTTTTGGGGTTTTTTTTGTTCTGGTTTGGGTTTTAATCCTTTTCACTCAGCTCTTCTTTGCAATAAGGGCAATGTGAAAGAAGAATGCTGGGAAAGAGAAATGTTCTTGTTCCCAGCAAGCAGGTTAAAAAATTAAGGGAGGTGGAGGATTTGAGGAACTCACTTCTGACACAGAAGTCACAGAAAAAACTTAGCAGAGTGGGATGAGTTGCTGTCAGTCACCTCTTACATAAATACTTTCTTTGCCAGTCATGCTAGAACTTGGTTTGCTGTCTCTCATCAAAGCACTATGTAAATGCTGATAATTTTAACGCTGGACATCTAAACACATGACAGTGTTAAATATAATCCTAAAAGAAAGGGAGACATTTAAAAATAGAGAAGAACAGTTCACTTCCACTCCAGCACTGGGCAGAGCCTTTGCATGCCCTGCCTTCCCCAGGTTTAAGTTAAAATTCAGACAAGTAATAGCATTTCCTGTCATGCTGGGAACATCCCTCTTTCTTTCTGCTTTACCTGGACAATACCTTTAAGAATCTAGGAGTTCAGGTTTACAAATCTGAATGATGATTTGTTTGACAATTCACTAATACTGTGGATGATCAACTCCAATTCAGTATCTCCCTATTCTCCAGCATTTCATGCAAACCACAGGTAATGAATGCCCTGGTACAAAAGCATTTGGTTTCATTCCAAAAGGACACTTTGTGACTGTAGAAGTTTTCAGCAGTTCATGTGGCTGAGGAACTGACAGTCCACATGTAAACAGTAAATACATGATGGAATAAAACCCCAACCAAAAGCTTTTCACACTGACCACAACATTGCACAAAGACTTAGGACCAGCTAAAAAGCTGCATGCATTAAATCAAGCATAGAGCGAATAACGAGGCACTCTCTGAATATCCTTTAATTTTACCTGGACCTCCAAAACCCCTTAGGAGCTATCCTTCTTTATAGGAAAATATTAAGCATATGTATTATATGAGCTTTGTAAGTTTGAGTTCTGCTCTTAATATAGTAACACAAATCCTTTAATTTCCAAGGAGAATTACTTTACCATTCTGACGGCTTGCATTTGGAATGATACAAATTTTGGAAAGGCTTAATGGAATGACAAATGCAACATAAAATTGGATTTGCATGTCCTGAGGAGAACAGTAAGAAAAGGAAACCCCAAAAGACCAACTCTCCCTTCTTGCATAATGCAGAATAGTTTGAAGATATAACATGGTTCAGCATTTCAAAAGAATCACAGCATAGCGAGGAGAATGATGCCAAGACACACAGGAACTCATACAGCACCAAGCCTTTTACACTTGGATATTCACAGAGAAGCCAGGCATGATGCTATGCACAAGGCAGTTATAAATCCATGCCTATTCACTGACTCTACTGCATGGTCTCTCAGGTTACAGAATGAGGCAAGAGCCTTTAGCAATACTGATTTATCCGCAGATTGTTCTAAACAGCAACCATAGATAGGATGGACAATCAAAATTCCTTTTTATGGCAATGACTGCCAGTGTCTTGTCTTCAGGTTTGGAAAGAGGATATGAGGTGTGCCTTGCATTAAGAAAAGTAGGAATAAGACTGATATCCAGGGTAGAACCAGTAACTCACTCTCATTTGGGGATCTAAGTGGGGTTCTTCCTGCCACCCAAAGAAGGCCCAAATGAGTTTCATAACCTCAGCTCAAGATGACCTGGCCAAAACACATGCCTTCTGCCCCTGGTTCCAGAACATTGTTATTGAAACACTCTGTACTTCCCCAGACTCAAGGCAGCGCTGGGTAGATAACAGACCCATTGATCCAGGCACAAAATAGTGTGCAAATCTCACAGTGATGATAACTGCTTCATCCAGTTCTTCAAGAGCATGCAGAGTAAGTTTTTGTTTGCTGAGCACTACATGATTACATTATATAAAGCTGCTGCTAGCAGTATGAAAACAATATTAAAAGCTTAACTAAGACAATGTGTTTCAGAAGAATTTGCTTTCTTTGGAGTTGGAATGTCCCCATAAAAAGGCATGATCTGTACTAGACTGAGCTGTCCAATGATCTGCAAATGCTGCACATTGTGTCCTCGAGTAAACCCTGCTTTCTTCAAGCCCAAATTGGTTTGGATTTCTCCTGTGCATGCAGAGAGCATTTTCAACTAATGCTACAACTACATGTCTTAAACCTGCAGTTTGATCTGTGGGCTTGACTTTCACAGATGTACTTTCACTTTATAGTACTGCATGTCTAATGACAATGCCACAGGATACCAGGTAGGGAGTGTGTGAACGTGTACTTGAAAAGCAGAGCTGGATCCATTCTCAAGGCTTGGTCCACTATCCTGATTCAGCAATAAAGGGTTTGGGGTTTTTTCCCCAAATTCCTCCCTCTTTCTGCTAGCCTGCTGAAAATACTGTTATTTATGCAGACCTACTACAGCTGAACGACTAGTAATTCTAGTAGTATATATAGTACTATATATAAATAGTACTATTTCTTCTTAAAGTTTGTATTGCCAAGTCTCCCCCGCCTCCCTGTTAATACTTGCTGTCCCACATTAACACACAATTAAAGAAAGTCCAGGATGCATAAAAGTGAGTCAGTTAAGATCTTCATTCCTGTTAAAGGCTGAGGTATTTTAATTTTGCAGACTCTGAGAAGATTTACCCAGCAATACAGAGATAGAAGAAGACGAGAAAATGTCTGTATTATTGAAAGCAAAACCCAGCGCATGAGTGTTACAGCCCTACCAGGGATTGACTTCAGGCCTAGTTTTCCTCATAGCAAAACTGAAGAGTTGTGCCTTCATTCAGTTTTCAACTTGGAATACTTCTCACACACAGAACTATGCCTTTTACTGCAGAACATACATAAGCCCTTCCATACTGACACAGATCAAAGGTAGTTCTAGCCTGGAGTTCTGTCTCCAAGTGTCCAGAAGATGTGTAGAAAACAAGTGCAAGAAACTGGGCAACTGCAGAGCGATTTATTCCTTGATATACCCTCCCAGTTTACTGCCTTTTTTAGTAGTAAAACCAAGTTGCAACACTGGCAGAGTCCCAGCTTTTTAGACTTTCATCAGTTTAATTGTTGCTACATAATTCAGAGTTCAGGTCCTGGAAGACAAATATGATATAAAATACTTTCAGAACATTACTTTAAATACAATCATTTGCAATTCTTTTCAGCTTTTTCCCAAAGCCTCTTCAAGATTTATCAGTAAAGGCAAGAAGATACTGGACACAGAGATGGTGAAGAGCAAGTCCATCCTTGGAGTCTTCTTGTGTCAGGGCAGGATCCCCTCAACTGAGCACATTCTTTAGGCTACTTTAAAATGTCCCACCCTTAATAGTCAAATGCATCTCACTCCAAGTTCAATGTTATGCCTATGGTTCCTAATTTCACAGTAGGACTTCCTACTACATCTTTTTTGTCTCCCCCAGATAGTCTGTAGGGACTAAAGCTGAGTGGATTAGCAAGGGTCAGTCATAGCCAAACACTGACATTTTTTCCTTTGTGTGTGTACACGTGTATGTGCTTGGGTATGTGGACTTTTCACACACATTTGTGGAGATTGCCTGTGGGTCAGTCTGATAAACAATGCATTCAACGCAGCCATGCCTCTAGCAAGCCCTGCTGCTGTATATGAAGATTCAGCAAGCCTGAAAGGAGAAATTGTGATATGATCACGTGTCATTTGCCCACTAACATGGCAAAAAGGATCAAACTATAATATTCACTCCCTGTGGATATAAAATCCCTGAAGCATCTGCCAGTTCCCAGAGGTCATAAGCAAAGTATGGCCATCCTGGCAAATTATCCTCATTATCTCAGCACACATTATGCACATGTGATGGAGCCAGACTCTGACAAGGAGCCATAGTTTCTATTAGAGCATAGTACAAGAGTGGTAGAGAGCAAGAATATGAGGCTCATTTCATAGATCACAGCAGAAAGAAATCATTCTACACCATAGCCTTACTCTTCTCTGGTCCCAAATCCTTGGCAGCAAAGCAGAGGAGCAGTGCTGGAAGCCATGGCATTTCAGGGAGCGTGCAAATCACAACCTTGCTATCCAGGTGGTGTGTCCAGTCCTCCTGGAGAATGGTCTCATTTCATGCTGACACTGGATGAGGGAGTCTTTAAACAGTTGTGAGCTGCACTGACAGTGCTAATTACCCCCCAGAAGAGAATACCACTGTCAGACTCTGAATCTTAGAAAGATTCATGCTAACACAGTGTTAGTAGTGTATAACCTGTCAAAAAACACAAACCAACCCAAATCAGGGAAGCATGCACATTACTAGCTCTTGAAATGCCCATCACAGAGAGGAATACGAAAGGAACACCAGATCATGTGTTCATTATGAAACTGCACCAAAGGAGCTTTTGTCCCCAGAGAGAGACCTCACACAAAAGTCCATCCATACCTTGTGAGCTCTGACTGACAAACTCCATGGTTTACAATGAGAATTCAGACTCCAGCCCAGGTCTGGTTCAGCCAAGTGCAGAAAGCCACATACGAGGAAAACTACTTCCAACTACTAAGCAGTGTATCTTAAAACCTCTTATCCTCTTGGAGAAGAGCATGGAATAAGCATCTGAGAGCCGATTTTCAAAATCCATAGTTCTTTTATCATTTTAAATAGCATTTACACTCTTATTCGACCCTCACTGCCAACCAGTAGCTTAGTGTCAATAATAAAGGTATTCCAACAGAAGAGCAGGCCTTGTGTAGTCCAGAAACATAGTTACTCTAGTTAGTTATAGTTTCTCTAGTATTAATATAGTTACTCTACAGTTACTCTGTCTTTCCAAACAACTATCAGGCAAAATCTCTGCTGAATCTGAAGAGTAATATAAAGTTTTTCTCATAGCTCTGCTCTGTCTCTATGTCACTGCCATTAGAATCATATCCTCTACTGCAACACTTGAACAATCAACAGACATTTGATTTTTTAAGCTCAGGCTTTTAAGATGTTCTCATTTACAGTAAAATGGTTTCTTTCTACTACATAACTAATCACAAGTGAAAGAAAGGATGCATATCACTTCCTTTATCCATTCCATAATAACTGAACATTTCTAATCAGCACTTGGTTTGAATTGCGGTGTATTGCAAATGCCTCATGTACAAATAAATCAGTGTTCCAGAGCACCCAGGCTACATTCTGTATGTATGGGGGTTGGACTAGATGAGCTTTAAAGGTCCCTTCCAACCCAAACTATGCTGTGATTCTATGATTCTCTGTATTATCGATTCAACTGTGAAGCCATGTGGCAAAAATGGTCATGAAAATATTCACAGGAGACTGAGTCCTCCAGCAAATCAGTAATGAACTTGTTTGTCTGACCTATTTGCTCATGACCTATAAGTGAATGTCTGCTTTTTGCTACTAACTTCTATCATACACAACACTATCAAGTGATGCTACCCATACTAATGAAGTAGACACCTTAACCCCTGTATCAACTTCTTCATTTTCTGCAACTAACCCAAGAGGAGAACCTGCATTTTGATTATTCCTTCCTACCTCTTGATTAACTCAGGCAACCATGGTTAAGCTTCCTCCAGCTGAGTATTAAGGGAAAAGTATCTCTTTACATTCAATTTAGCCCTAGTAAGAGAGGTCTGAGACATGTTGATGCAGGATAGCTACGTTCTATTTTCTGGAAACGTTTAAAATTGTGGAATAGATATTCCTTTAGGTAAAACAGACACTGTCTCACAGTTTGAATGCCTCATCTGAGAAGTTTAAAGCTTTCCCTGTGTTCACACAGAAGCTAGTGATCTAGGGAAAGTGGGTTATTCTTGATACATCTTTCTTCATGTAGGGACAGTATTACAAGGAAGTACTGAATGTAACTGTTCACACACACAAGGTGTCTCTGAAGACAGTAAAACTTGTTAACCTTATCCCATACCCATATACTTCCATGGGATCTCTGAAAACCATCTCGTGCTCTGTTGGCCCCTTTCTCAGTGACCCGACACGTCTCCGAAGTGTCAGGATTTAGGAACAGCAGCTGTACACACCTGTGCTACTTGCAAACCCACAAAGATTTCAGAAAGAAATGAGGATTTTCATCATTTTGGGCAGCTTTTTTTCTTGAAGAGTATTGCTCCTAAACAGAAAAGCCCAGCCATGTCTTCTCAAGTGCCTTCCCTGAGCCTTTCAGCAGCACAAAAGACACTGACTCCAGGAGGAATCCACCTTCAGTCCTCAAGCCCTCTTACAACCCTAAACACACCACATGAGCATAAGGCACTGTTTTCCTACATTGTGCCCCCTCACCATCCAACTTACCTGAACAGAAATGCTGATGCAGAGAAAGAGACTGTGATGACTGTTGCTGTTGCGGGGCTCAGTTTAACTTCAACCTCAGCCCAGAGGTCAGGAGAGTGCAAAACGTTTTCCCAGTAGTCATCACTCCCAACAGTGCTACTCTTCATTTTGGCCAGAGCACTTTTATTTTCCTGCATTGCGCACTACATGGCAGTACTCAGGCACACACTGGATAGACTGACTCTTAGAAGGAATTGGAGATACTGTTTAAGGAAGCCCATACAAGAGAACATGGGAGACTTGAAATTATTGTAGTCAAAGCACAGAACGAAGTTGATGCAAATCTATAGAGAACCAGGATCCATTAGTTCTGTGCTCACAGAACTCTTTATGCAGATTCACTGATTCCAGAGCATGTGATACCATCATAGAATCATGGTGTGGTTTGGACTGGAAAGGACCTTAAAGCTCATTCAGCTCCAACCCCTGCCATGGGCAGGGACACCTTCCAGTAGAGCAGCTTGCTCCAAGCCCCTGTGTCCAACCTGGCCTTGAGCACTGCCAGGGATGGGGCAGCCACAGCTTCTATGAGCACCCTGTGCCAGTGCCTCACCGTGCTCAAGGTAAAGCACTTCTGCCTATGAGCTCATCTCAATCTCTCTTGTTTCACCTTTTCCTTCCTCAGTTTAACATTACCAGTCCCTCACTGTGTATGCAGTGACCCACTAATGCAAGAAAATCCTCATCTCATGGAGGATCACAGTTAAGCAACCACTAATGTAGTAAGACTTTTCTCTTTAAATCTGGTTCAGACCACTGCTAAAAGAGAAAGACCTATGACCTCTGTACAATGCACATCCCAGAGTACAGTAGTCCACTGGAATTAGGCATTCTTCTGGCACTGAAACTGTGCCTATAGGGCAACACCTACACCAAAAGCCAGGCATGGTATGTGTTTGGGTTACATGGGAACAGAAGAAAAGCCAGTGCTTTTTCCTAGGGATTATCCCAGCTGTCTGGCTTGCTTATATCAGCCTGCTGCTGTAAACTACCGAGGTACAAGAAGAAGGTACAAAAGAAGGATTTCTTCAAGACAGAAATAAGTGCTTGTGATAAACATTAAGTACAAACGCAATGTATCATTGATCACTGTGTCCAACTGAGGTTTTGTGACCACAGTTTTAAGGAAAAATGAGGCAGCTCTTGCCAAGAAATCAGTTGTAGAGATGCTAAACACAAGGGTGCACTAACTTTTTAGTAAAGGGAAAAAAAGCAAAGCATGTCTTTTATATATCTGGTTTGATGCTCTTCGCTGCACTCACAATGGGCTATAATGTGCTTTCTGATTTTTCAGTATGAAGTCTTAATCTGATGATATTCCAATGAAGCAAGACAAATGCCCAACACAAGAATAGCCTGGCAGTTCTACAGTAAAATATGAAGCTAAAGCCAGAGCCTCAGGTAAAAGTTTTACAGGCTGAATTTTCAGAAACTCTGATGGCTGGCTGTGTAAATGAAGACATCACCTTTGGCCCATGGCTGCTGTCATGCATGGAAAGCAGTTTTCTGTTAGAAAAATAAAGCACTCTGCATAGAATCATAGAATCCTAGACTGGTTTGGGTTGGAAAGGACCTTAAGATCATTCAATTCCAACCCCTGGCACAGGCAGGGACACCTTGCACTGGAGCAGCTTGCTTCAAGCCCCTGTGTCCAACCTGGCCTTGAACACTGCCAGGGAAGGAACATTTCCCACTGGGATGCAGCATTTACTCCCGGCAAATTGGGAAGGTAATATTAGCATTTGCATCAAGCATTTTGTGCTGCAATTTTCTGAAGGATATTTCAGGCAACTTTAAATGCACATCACTTTCAAAAACCAGTTGAGCACTGGAGCCAGTTATCTTTTGACTGGAAATAAATTTAAGGTTTGCCAACTAGTTGTAATAAAACATGAAGATGTGCCTGCTTCAGGTTTATAAAGAAGCATAGCCATGTGGTAAATAAGAAGCATTATTATCTTCAAGCTACTTTGCCTTCTTGCTCCACGCCCTTGTGTAGTACCTTCCACACATCCTTCGCTTCCCCAGAGGATTGTAAGGACAAGGCTCTCCCGACAGCTGCCCTCTTCTGGATGGAATCAAACAAGTTCCATGATTTCCACACAGATAAAATGCTGTGTCTACTTTTCAACAGAGGATGATCTAAATTCTTTCCTTATGTCTGTGTAATCACAAAGGTTACACTACGCCAGAATGAGAGCTACAAAATTCTAAGCGGCTGCTTCACAGTTCCCTGCATAGTTAGCCAATATGTTTTTTTTAGAGTAGAGATTTTAAACAACATGCTTTTTTCCCCCTGGCATCTTAAAAAAAATTTTGCTTTTCCATTTCTTTCCTATATTTATCAGTGCTTAAGACCACACTGCTGTTTCCTTGTAAAGTACTTAATTCTCCTCCCCATACATAATGGGAAACATTTCCATACCTCTTTGTTGCTTAAGGTAAGTATGTTAAACACTGAATATTACGTCTGGAAAGGTTCTTATATAATCTTTTCCTCTGCCCAAGTCAGGGTCAAATATTTCTTTGCTACTCTAGATCAGCATTTGGCTGACCCCTGTTACAGCCAGCTGATAACAGGGACTGCACAGTTCCTGCAGGGAACCCAGTCCACTGCTTCACCAGTTAACTATTAGTGTTCCTGGAGGTTCGTTTATGGACTTGTCACACAAGTAAATGGCTCCACAGATGATTTTTAAAAGGACCCATTCATCAGGGAGCGTGGAGTTTCTTTCTGTGAGCTCTCATCTTTAAATGGATAGCAAGGATTAAGATGCAAAGTAGAAAGGCAGAAAACATCACTTAACGAGGGTTTCAGTTCTTGACAGTGGAACCAGGAAGTTGGAGGTTTTTCTCAGTATTCTGTATGCACAGTCATACCAGTGCACACTTTGAAACTTTCACTGCACATCTGTGCATCACTGCATGGTCTAGGCACCATGCCAGAGGCTGAATTCCTGCGAGTCCGTGCAGCTCCCACACGTTTACAGCACTAGGACCCAGAGGGAGCTTCATTTCTGTGAGTCAGTGCAGCTAGCTGAGCCCTGTGAGCAGTGAATGAGGCTGGAAAGGCAGAGGGAATGTGAATGGCTCTTCTGGCTTGGGAAAGTGTCCACAGACTGGGGTGCTACGGACTACAAACCAGCTCGGACAACCCTCCGGATTCCCGGTACTGCCGGCGTCCAGTGCCGCTGCTCTGAGGTGAGTGCCCCACAGGAGCCAGCGTTCAAAAAGCAGGAACACGGCTGTCGCACCAGTTGTGGAAGTTTGGGATTTCAAAATTAGCCAATGTGGGTTTGCTGTACAGTGATTTTTACTCTCTTGAGGAGAACAGAGCAGATGGCTTTGAAATACAGAGTGCTCGTTTCTTAAAAATAGCATTTAAAAGGAAAGCATGGTCTAAGGAAACTGAAAATTGCATCTGCTAAAGCAGGTTAAACAGCACATATATCTGGAAGGTGTTCATAAAGCATTTGTGTTTAAGCTTAAAGCTCAAAAACCATCTTTAGTAAGAACAGCTTAATCTTAGAGAAATGTAATATTATTCTTTTATACCCAGATGTATGAGAATTTCTTTTTATTTGCATCATACAGCAGTCACACCTATATGAAAATCCTTTACTGTCTTTGTTCTGAATATTAAGGCTTACTTAACACTTTATTTCTTTTTCCTGTAGCGTAATTCTAATCTAGATAAGAACTCCTTTCTTTCTTTACTAATATAAATAGGAATTCTGGTAAATCAAAGCATGACTGGACCAAGGCAGAAACCTTTAGCTATAGGCAGAGTAGTAGATCACTAGAGACTGTATCCTCTACGATGTCCACTTGGAAAAGCTTACAAGTGATGAAACTGATAATGTTTATTGGTTTATGCCAGGATGTAACACTGTTTTATCTGATGCACCAGGCAGAGACAAAAATGGGGACCCCAGTCAGGGAGACAGAAGGAATTTGTGTACTGAGAACAAAAAGTGTTTGTGCTGCAGTTGCTTTATTCACTTTAAATTCTCCTTATATGCTCAAGAAGTTTTGGAAAAACAGCAAAGTGAGCCTGCTTGTCAGGCTGGTTTTTCCAAGTTGTCACAACTTTGAAGCTGCACTGTAACTGTTAGACAGATAATTTATGGGTGTTTTCATGCATTAGAGTATCACAATAAAGTCTTTTGGGGTTTTTTTGTTTTTGTTTTTGTTTTTTTTTTTTTTGCTAAGCCAAAGTAAAATGTGACAGTTACCTGCAAAAAGAGAAAGGAGCAGCTAAGTTGCCTGTACTTTCATACTCTGCAGCTCTGGGCTGTTTCAGATATTATGGAAACCAGGCTTTTTCAAATTACCCTGACAGCTACCATTACAGACATTCATCTGAAACTCAGGTTACAATATATCCTGCCCTTCCACAAAAAGGTTACAGTGACAGAATGAAGAACCATATTAACTGGAGTGTTCACTGGAGTGTTGTAAGTAAGATTTGGCCTTTAAATATATTAGTAATTATAGAAATGAATCATTTTCTAACAAATCTCAGCAAGGTCTGGAGAGGAGCCCTCCTCATGAATCTGTGCAGTGGAGTAATCGTGATTTCACATCTTTATCAATCCCAGCCACTCACCCTAAAGGGATCTGTCAGTCTCACAATAAGGTAGTAAAGAGAGTTAACTGTGGTTTTCTTTTTCTCATCCGCCTAGCTAAGCAGTGTCCATTTTCTCCATCAAAAGCTTAAACTGTCTTTTCAGATGCCTTCACTTAAGTTCAGTGGAGAATTACAATGAGCACAAAGGCTCATTCTAACCCATACGCTAAGTAAACAGTTGTCACATAGAAGAACCAAGCAGTCTATTTAATCACTGTAAGATTTTAATTTAAAAGATCAGGCTAGAAAAAATACCTAAAATAGGTATTCAGATTAGCATTTGCAAATCTAAAATGTGTTTATTTAATGGGATACTTAGAACAAGGCTCAGATAGAACACATTTAAAAACTAGATTATTTCAATCAACAGAGTAAGTCCCATAAATTCCCCTACTGCTCCATGCCTTTGGCCATCTAAAAATGTTCCTTTAAATGCAAGTTCTATCAATTAGTTTTGTGGTTCCTTAAGAAATGCTTTTTAGGATTAACAGAGTATTGAATACATACTAATTAGCATTAATTGAATTACATTTAAAGCATGTGGAAAAAATACTGCTCATTTTAAGAAGTTAACATAATTCTGCCTTTTTCTTAGTCTATATTTTAAGAGCAAAATCTGCCGATAAAAAATAAAGGGGTAATAAAATGAATGCTTTCATTCCCAAAGATTCGATATTCTAAGCCTGGAAGTCAATCCTGGATTGCTGGGTTTAGAAGTATTTGTCTCTCCTTCAAATCTCAGCCCAGCTAAAGCCCGTGAAACTCAAACTGCCCACAATAACAATGACCTCTGCTGGCAAATGCCCTCTGCTGAACAGAAGTTTTAAGAGCTTATTCAGAAAAATGACCACGAACTAAAACATTAGATCAGCTGAGAGACACTTGGAGAAATGCAAGATCACACCTCTGCCAGAGAAACATGCCCCATGGTAAAGAAAGTGAAAGGCACGTGTAGCAATGCTGATCCAGCTGCATTGCTCACACAGCAAGGAGGAAACTCTTCCTGTGCTGGGTTTGACTTGAGCCCAGTCAGAGAGGTCGATGTGTTTAAGCATTTCTACGACAGAAGCTCTGGGATACATGTCCTATGGGATGCATGTGGCTTGTTCTCCTGACACAATGCTCTTTGTGCAGCTCTGCCGAATTCATGAAATACTTGCCTGTGCATATGTTATTTAGACCCAAAATGAGCATGACCAAGCAAAGCAAAATCATTTTTGTTGTTGCCAAGAGACTGTAGTAACTTCATGTGGGTTATGTGCACTCTTATCTGCCTGGTTCCACTAGTCTAAAGCTACGGAACTTGGTGGAAAGAAAATCTCATACTGCTGATATAAACCTATACTGTCCCCAAGTCCTGAATACTAAGTTCTGGTCATCATTTACATCTCAGAAAGTGAAACATGTAAGGGTGCAAATGATGACAGCCTGGAAAATTTTCGGTATTTAGAGAAACTATAGAGTTTATGATTTCTACATTGCATTAGATGCGTTTTTCAGCCTGTAGCACTGCATAAAGAAACACTCCAATGACACAGAACTTCCTCTGTGTACAAGTAGGATTCTCTGTACACAGATCTTGCTTCTGTGAGATAATTAAGTGCTTGCAAACAAGTTATGATGTACTGGAACATCAACACCTGCCACTTGGAAACAATTATTGGGACACATGCAGAGGGATGAAATCCCATTTAATGGATACACAAACGAAGACGTAAGATGCTGACTGCATTGGCAGAGCTGGTAAATCACCGAGGATGCAGAGTTGGCTACAGTAGTTCACTAGTCAGCACATCTCTGAATGCATTAGCCCCAAGTGAAGCACACCCATGTACACCACACTGCCCAGTGCTCTCATGTATTTAGAAATGAGAGACAGAAAGAAGAATGCAGTACTTGACTACCTTTAGGCATAATCTCTGTGTGACTATATTCACGTGGAAGACATTTAGATTGCACCACTATTGCACAGCAAGAGAAAATATGCAAAGTGCTGATCGGTTTTTGGAGCCTTGCATACAGCTATTAAGATGCAAATTGCTGTATGCCTGTAGAAATCATACATAGATATGTACAAGACTTGTCTGGCATAGTATCTACATTCAAAATGAAAATAACTGCATGGGGGAGTTTGAAATAACAAGCTCAATAGCTTTACTGTCAGCTTCTGGAGCTTCACTTGATTTCCTGTGCCATTTTCCAATGAATGAAACACCTTTGACTTTTTCTTACCTTGGAAACAACATTTATTTCCCAGTAAAGAGCCTTTCTTCTTTTTTGCCTAAGCTCTTCCATTTACAACAATGCTTTGAGATTTTATGGCACAGTAGCTGCCATTATCAGAGAACAAAAATCAAGATTGATCAGATTCACATTTTCTATTGCTGGGATCAGTTTTACACATTACTATGGCTTCCACATTACCTAGAGGTATTCCCTGGAAGAAACTGTGAGATGGTGACAACAGAGAGCAAAAATAATAGAATCATATAATGCTTTGGGCTGGAAAGGAGCTTAAGACATCCAGTTCCAACCCCCCCTTCCACTGGAGCAGCCTGCTCCAAGTCCCTGTGTCCAACCTGGCCTTGAACACTTCCAGGGATGGGACAGCCACAGCTTCTCTGGGCATCCTGTGCCAGTGTCTCGCCACCTTCCCTCAAGGAAATAACTTCTTCCTTATATCTAACCTGAACTTTCTCTGTTTCAGTTTGAACCCATCACCCCTTGTCCTATCGCTACAGTCGCTGATGAAAAATCCTGAGGAATTGCCTGTCCTGAACTTTACAGCCCAAACCCTAACACAGTCTCCCCTCAGTCTGACAGTCCCTACAGATGTTCTCTGGACACGGATCTGATCGCTGTCAGAAATCAAACCTGCAGGAGCGAGGCCACTCAGTGTAGTTCAAGACATTTTTTGTTCAGAGATTTTCTAAAACTGGATATTGAACCCAGACCACTAAAACTGATTTCAAAACCAACTTTCCCTAATCAGTGTTCCTGGCTCCAAAATCAAATTTCCTGTTCCCACAGGGTCCATAACAATGTGCTAATAAAAGATCAGATTCTGCTCCCATTGACTTGCTATGCATCAAAACTCTCACTGATTTAAGTGGAGAAAGATTCAAGCACAAAGACTGAAGAAGTCAAACAGAAGGTTAAGAGTTTGACTTTGTTTTGGGCCTTGGTTTACATATTATTGCCAAAATCATAATGATCATTTCTGTGATGCAAATACGAGGATCTTTCCAGGAATAAAATCAATGCAATGAATGAATAATCGACAAACTGAATCTGTTCCTTACACTGTGTCATTTAGTTTGGAGTGCCCTGTTTGTGAGAAATAGTGCTGCCTTAAAAAGTATGTGACAAAAACTGATTTAGCTCAGTTAGTTGTTAACTGCTCTGAAAAATAATAAAATGTTAGATTCTTTCTGGCAGTTCTGACCCACAATGAGGAAATCAGCCCAGTATAAGTACAGCTGGTAAGCAGATTATTTTTTTAACAACTTTCTATACACTAAGTATGGCTTTGCTAGTCTAAAAATTACTATTTTGAATCATTCCTATTCTG